TCAACATATAAATGTCTTCAACATATAAATGTCTTCAACGTTTTGATTCTTTTCTGCCCCCCTGTCAGGAGCTCTCCTCACCCAAACCGTTTACCTGCACAGGTAAGAACTAAGCCCATACTCCAGGAACAAAGCTGTACAAATGTGCAACTTCTGTGTCTCAAAACCCAGTGAGCCATTGTTTTAACAGTTTTGATGATAAAGAAATGCCTTTTTTTTTGTAAATTGATATTTCTGTCTGTTCCAGGTGCAGCAATAAGCTACTCAGACATGGCAGTAAGCTTCGAGCACTGGCCCTCAGCCTCTGAGAGTTACTACAGCAGCGCTCTGGGACCGAGCTACGCCTCAGCCTACAACATCCCAATGACCTCTGAATACGGCACCCAGCAGCAGCTGCCGCTTTACGACACCATGCCCCAGAGCTACGTAGGACAATCGCTTTCTAAGGGGTGCCGTTAGTAAAGTTACACAGTGAAAAATTACCACCAATATTTTGTTTTATTTAGCCTTTTATAAGAAAAAAAAATAACAGATTTATTTTTCAAAGTCAGTTTTTCACAATATGATTCATACATTTATAAATTTCATAGTCTAGAAACTAAATATTTTACTTAAAAATTAAATATTTAGTTAACAAGTTAAATATTTAGGTTGCAACTTAAATATTTATACAGCCACCTAAATATTTAAGTTGCAACCTAAATATTTAAGTTGCAACCTAAATATTTAGGTAGCTAGCTAAATATTTAAGTTAAATATTTAACTTGCCAGCAAAATATTTAAGTTGCAACCTAAATATTTAGGTAGCTAGCTAAATATTTAAGTTGTAAGCTAAACATTTAGCTAAAAATATTTAGGTCACAAGTGAAATATTTAACTTGTTAACTAAATATTCAATTTGTAAGTTAAATATTTGGTTTCTAAACTATGAAATTTATAAATGTGTGAATCATATGGTGAAAAACTGACTTTGAAAAATAAATCTGTTCTTTTTTTCTTATAAAAGCCTAAATAAAACAAAAATATTGGTGGTAATTTTTCACTGTGTAACTTTACAAAAGGGCACCCCATAGCTTTCATGACAATACACCTGTCCGAGTTCAGGACGGTGTTACTGAGTGGCTTACTTTGTGCAGGACTTCTCAGTGGCCCTCCCGGACACCAGCATGGGATCATCTTGGCCCGTCCTGGGTCCCAGTCCGTCCATCTTCAGTCCAACGATGGACGCTGGCAAGCTGGAGGAGGCCCGGTTGCTGCTCAGTGGGATGGACTACAACCGAGCCGTTCGTCAGGATGAAGATGGCGACACGTGAGTGCTCATGGGACTTTACATTTCCCGAAAGCAGAAGAGCAAATAGACCTGTCTAAATATGAAGCTTAATGTTTATTTTGTTTAAATAGCCAAAAAGAAGTGTTTCCTGCACCATGTGAGCTGCTTTGAACACTATATTTGCATTAAAGACACTTGAAAAGTTAGTTTGTACACAGTTAATATCTTACCTGTTGTAGATAACTCGTTAAATGACCTCATTTTGGAGGAATCGAGTTATAAGACCGATGAGCCAACAGCAAGTTCAAGACAAAAGTGGATCACTGCTGTCTTTAAACAATTGTTTTAAAAATGGCTCATGCAAATACTATAGCTACTAAAGCTACACACTGCTCAGTTTAGAATTACAGGGTTTCTCTTAGAAATACACCGATTCTAGTTTTGTGGAYCAATACCGATTTTCTTTCAATGAACTAAACCATTAAAAGTCACACACATTCAAGATTATCTGCTGTCTTAAAATAAAAACATTTTCAAAAATAAAATGACAAACACTGTTGTCAACTCCTCAGTAAGAAGAGTAGCTAATGGCTCTTCTAAAAGTCACTAAATGACATCATTAACAAATTTGCATATTCAATGTAGTTGTGATTTAGGCTGTAGGATGGAGAAATATCAGGGTTGTAGAGATAAAAAGTTAGTGAAAAACACAAAAAAATTTAGAACTGCAATTGAGCTGTGCATTCATGGTCCAAAAAACAGTTGAATTTCTCATTAGTGATGTCTAAAACCGGGAAAAAAATATAAATTTTTGGATTTTTTTCAGCCAGTTTGAGTGTGCATCCCMCTTCCAGTAGAAATATTATGGGATTAAAGCAGGAAGTGCCTCATGCTACATCAAAATTGCTACAGCTAGCTGCTGCTGTAGCTATTGGTACTCATAAACAACCAAAGCAATAAATGTGTAACACAAAACCGCATTCACGCAAACTGCTATGAACGTTTTTGAGATTAGACATCAGACACACATCAGAGCTTGTTACTACATTCAGAATTAAACTCTCTCTCTCAGCTGTTCAAAAAGCTATCCACAGCAGGTAAGATAATGATTGTTCATAACCTTTCCTTTGATCTCCATTTTGAAAAGTTAGGAGCTATCAATCTGAGTTTTTTTTAAAGGGGAACCTTTAAAGAGACATAACAAAAGTCATTTCACAAGACAAAAATGTATTTTTCAACCTGATTAGAAAACAAAAAGTTAAATTAGAGGAACGTAAATTGAGCTACTGTCACGTTTGTCATATTTAAGGATAAACTAACAAAAACCCCAGATCCTCACAAGCACACAACGTGAGTAATACAGTAACAGATCATTCCAAACAATACCTCCCCCCTCCCACACACACACACACACACACACACACACACACACACACACACGAAGTGAGCAGCAGGAAAGGAGCCACCTTTTGGCAGAGAAATCTCTTCAACTCAAA